AACTCGGTACACTAACCACTGTAATCGAGTTGATGGCTGAGCTCCAACTTAACAAGGTTAACAACTCGGTACACTAACCACTGTAATCGAGTTGATGGCTGAGCTCCAACTTAACAAGGTTGACAACTCGGTACACTACCCACTGTAATCGAGTCGATGGCTGAGCTCCAACTTAACAAGGTTGACAACTCAGTACACTAACCACTGTAATCGAGTTGATGGCTGAGCTCCAACTTAACAAGGTTGACAACTCGGTACACTAACCACTGTAATCGAGTCAATGGTTGAGCTCCTACTTAACAAGTTTGACAACTCAGTACACTAACCACTGTAATCGAGTCAATGGCTGAGCTCCAACTTAACAAGGTTGACAACTCGGTACACTAACCACTGTAATCGAGTCAATGGTTGAGCTCCTACTTAACAAGTTTGACAACTCAGTACACTAATTGAGTCGATGGCTGAGCTCCAACTTAACAAGGTTGACAACTCAGTACACTAATCACTAATTGAGTCGATGGCTGAGCTCCTACTTAACAAGGTTGGTAACTTCCACTCCAGAGGAATATTGTTTAGGTATTATGTTATACAATCAATATTAATGGGAAATCAATAAGGTAAGTTGTACCATACATTGAATTAAGATGTTTCATTAAACCTGAACGTACGGTTTGAATATCTATATGTCAGACTTAAAATATTGTTTAAAAATACTAATGTCCTAAATTTTATTTTATATACGAAATTCATCACTAAGTGGCTTCAAACTCGTTTACGAAAACGTGCAACATTTTCCAGCGTTAAGAAACGTGTGGTACATGAATGTAACAAACCAATAAAGATCTCGCAAGAGTGAATAATGTATAGAAACAGCACCAAAAGTCAACAAGTTTTAACTGAGGTAACGAAAAGAATAGGACTAAATTTGTAAATAAATGGGTTTTAAAATGAATGTGGTGAGAATTCATGTTATACAAGTCAGTGTATATATCAGCCAAAGTTGAAGAACTATGTTCGAAAATATAAATTGACGAAGTCGGTCCTGCAGTTTGTTTTAATCTATCACCTTTCCTTTAATAAATAAGATATTGCTCGTCGTATTTCTAAGTAAATAGGAACTGCTTGAACCTTAAGGTATTAGCAGAAAATTAGAAAATAAAATTCTGAGGTACGGTTACGAGGAATTTATGCTTACCAGATGTGTTCAATGTTTTGTCAGTACTTATCCTGTGAGATAATGGTGCAAGTTCACACTATTATGTTTAGAAAACAGCATAAATAGTGGTCTTTCAATAAAAGAAACCAAAATTCTGTAGAAAAAAATAGTTTATATGATGTTCAAGTTTTAATTCTATCAGTTTTAGAGATCAGACGAAAATCCCAAAAATTTCAAATTTGTAAATGTTACTAAACTTCAGGCTTTTAACATGATTATAAACCCTAATAGCATGAACAGCTACTATCTTACAAAGAGTAAGCTCAATGTTTACTTGTGTAACTCTCAAAAGATCTACATATTTCTAAGAGAACTTGAAACTTTAAAAAAAAATGTGGTTGTTATAGTTGTGTACTAGGTATCATCTAGACTAAACGTTTTTCACAATAAAACTGAAAGTGTTTTTACACTTTGGAACTATTTTAATCAAAATATATTGAACTGTCAACTCTAATTATGGTAAAGTTTATAAATCACAAAACCTAGTGTTTTCTGTGTAGAACAATTTAGCTTTAAATTTTTGTACAAGGAGTTGTTTTTTTTTTTGCTCAGGTTCCCACCTTTTTTTTTATAGTTAATTGTGTCTGAAGCAAACAACAATGCAAAGTTTAGCTCCTTCGTCCTTATTATTTGTTTTTTTATGACATTTTACATTTGGAGAAATAATTTTTGGAAGAACTCAGAGTAAAGATTTATAGATCAGTAGATTCTACACGTAGTTGTTTAAAATTAGATACACTATTCTACATGCTGATGACAATCAGTCGATAGTTTGTAGTTTACCTACTTACCACTGTGTGTGTGCTGATGACAATCAGTCGATAGTTTGTGTTTGTAGTTTACCTACTTACCACTGTGTGTACTGATGACAATGTCGATAGTTTGTGTTTGTAGTTTACCTACTTACTGTTGTTTGTGCTGATGACAATCAGTCGATAGTTTGTGTTTGTAGTTTACCTACTTACCACTGTGTGTGTGCCGATGTACTGACGTTATAACATTACAAATTCCACAAACTCTGCTAAGTTTTCTCTCTTTTCATGTGCTTTCTTTATGATTAAACTTTACGAATAATAACTTTTAAATCAAGATTAGGATCCACTAAAGGATAAATAGAAAGAAAACACTGGAAGAACAGCATGGAAAATAATGCAAAACATTGTGGCTAAACAGTTATGTACATGACAGATCTGTAAAGCTCATTTCATAACTAACCATTGCATGTCTGTGGACATGCAGCGATACAACTGAAAGAGGCATACTCTTGTTCAAAAATATGAGTCTTCTTCCAGTGTCTTTTGCGACAATCAGTTCTGATTTTGTGACATTGTATTAAACAAGGTCACTTAAAAATTATAATTTTATTTTTTATCAACAACCCTGTGGAATCAAATAATTAAAACCATTAATAATTACACTAAATGGCTTATAAAAATAGCCCAGATTAAGCTATGTACATAATTATCAACTACCCCCCCCAAAAAAAAAAGAGACAGAGAAAAAAGAGTCCATAGCTACATGTGTTTCTAAATCACTCCTATTTACTTTTAAATATGATACAGAGCTTCAAATAAATGTATTTGGTACATGCACACAGACAAACATTAAATTTAATAAATGTAACAATAGAATTATCTGTAACAAATGTTTAAAGTTTCACTTTAAAATCTGAAATACTGTACTTTCTAATGGTCTTCTTTGTGGTTTAACACTGACAGTATCTGATGACACTGTACATACATTGTTATTATGATTATAACAGTTGTTAATTACACACTTTAGCATTATTTCACAACCACGTGAATAGAGCACTCACGTTCATGGAAGTGTTGAGGTGTACAAGCCGCAATGGATGAACAGGCACTCGTTCTAGAGTGCATGGATACATAATATATGAACTTTTTTTTTTTTGAACTATATATATGTGTGTGTGAGAAGTAATACTGTATATATACATATGTATAAAACTACAAATGCCTATGGCTATATTAGTATATACAGTAAACATTCAAAAATCAGTGTAGCATTGCAAAGTTACCACAAAAAAATATAATCAAAATAAGGCCTTAAAGAAATAAATCTGAGCAAAATTAAACTATTTCATCAGTATAGTATTCTAAGTTGCTTTTAGACTGATAGTCCTAATGATATATACACACACGCACATTGTAATTCTGGGATACGAGAGAGAAAAAAAAATAGGTAGTAATTTTTTAGAACTGCTTCTTATAGGATTAGTATTTTATGTAAATATTTGGTAAAACAATTTTGTTACATAAATACTCTGACAATGTGATAATCTATAAATACAACATTTTTTCATAAGATGTTAAATAAATAAACTTTTATAACAGGTTTGCTTTTATTTACAAAACAAACTGTATTGAAACACTTAATATTTGTTAATTTTTGGTGTTGTTTGAAAAAATGACAAACTGTTATTGACGGACGACTCCCGATATTTATTCTTTATTCATACAATTAATAAATTTGTTTCTTTCTTATTTAAGCACAAAGCCACTCAATGGGCTATCTGTGCTGTGCCTGCCACGTGTATCGAAACCCAGTTTTTACAGTTATAGGTCTTACCGCTTAGCCACTTGGGGAGAACAGCATAATGTTAAAAACCAATTTACAATTGAGACACAGATTTTAAGTTTAAATGAAAGATAAAAATCCAACATCTCTGATGTCACATCTGTGATGTATCGTTTTTTTTTATATTACCGCATACAATCCAAGAAGAAAAGTAATTACTAACCAGAAAACTTAATTATACACACGAACATTTGTATGATCTTTGTGCAGAAAATTTAATTATACACACGAACATTTGTATGATCTTTGTGCAATGTTTCTTAACCAAACAAAATGTATACAAGATAACTGTTTTTGTACAATGTAATAAAGAATATCCAGCCAAAATTATAAAGAACTGATAAGCAGAACCAAATTCGTAATCCACCTCTGTTCAGTTTTGGTACGAACTGGATATATTATAAGGAACTGCTAGGCAGTATCAAGTCAGTAATCCACTACTGTTCAGGTTCTATGTTTACTAGTGATATTATAAGGAACTGCTAGGCAGTATCAAGTCAGTAATCCACCACTATTCAGTTTCTGTATGTACTGGTAATAGTATGGGGGAACTGATAAGCAGTCCCAAATAGATTTATCACTGTTCAGGTTCTATGTTTACTAGTGATATTATAAGGAACTGCTAGGCAGTATCAAGTCAGTAATCCACCACTATTCAGTTTCTGTATGTACTGGTAATAGTACGGGGGAACTGATAAGCAGTCCTAAATAGACTTATCAGTGTTCAGCTTCTATGTGTACTAGTGATATTATAAGGAACTGATAAGCAGTACCAAATCAGTAATCTACTACTGTTCAGCTTCTATGTTTACTAGTGATATTATAAGGAACTGATAAGCAGTACCAAATCAGTAATCCACTACTGCTCAGATTTTGTGTGTGTACTGGTGACACCATATTTGTAAGAAATTCAATAAATGCATAGTATTTCCAAACTTATCATCATCAGAGTGCAAAATTAAATTATCCCTGCTCAATGTTGAACACCTTGTAAAACATTTCCAAAGCTGTGAGTGATAAAAAAAATGCTTTTTGCATTCAAGACTATATCTTTACAAAGCAAACCGACTCCATCACTCTAAACTGTGGAGCATCGGAAACAGGTTTTCTGGAGGAACTAACTCCATCTGGAGTGACAATGGACACTGGTGCTTCTCCCTCTCCGTGCTTCGATTACGTATCTCGTTCCACCTCTGTAAAATCTGCTGGTAGTTCATGTACTTCTGAGGCTCACCGAGAAAGGTGTAAACCCGTAACAAACCACGGTAGTCATATTCCAATCCACTGTATCCTTCTCCAAACAGTTTTACCCCTAAAATATTACGAAAAACAGTCAGAATTTAAACAGAAATCTCTCTTAATCGTAAAAAAAATCTGAATCGTGACAATATTTGAACCAACGGTTATTTAAATAATAATATCACACTTTATGTAGATATGAGAGGAACTATGTGTGTAGCATGTGTTTTATTACACATGCATTTATATTCTGAAAAAATATACAAATAATCTGGCAAGAACTAAAACAACACGATATACATCCTGGTAGGCTGTGTGACGTAACATTACAATAATAAATTTATTTTGTTTTACAAATCTTTCTTTACCGACCCCTATACTATGGGTTTCCGGTAAAAAGAAACATAATAACATCTCAACTGAATGCCACTGCTTTATCAGTTTAATGATCATTGCCGCTATAATGCAAGTTTAATTTCTTTAACCAAGTTACGAACAGTGATTAATAGGCCTACTTATTTATATGCTTTAATGTAAATCCATGTCAACTTTGGAGTCTGCTTTTGGGGAATAAAAGTGTTTCCACAAAATACTTTGGTTACTTAAGGAGTTTGGTGAAAAGTTTTAACTTTGTGCAAATGTCTAGGCTGAGATGATTCATTTCGCACCACTTAGAACTTGGTGAGTCCAGCAATTTAGGAGAAGTTTTCAGGAAATCGACAAGTTCTCCAAAAGGTGGGGTGAAAAGTTTTACCTTTGTGCAAATCTCTAAGCTGAGATGATTCATTTCGCACCACTTAGAACTTGGTGAGTCCAGCAACTTAAGAGAAGTTTTCAGGAAATCGACAAGTTCTCCGAAGGGGTGGGGTGAAAAATTTTACCTTTGTGCAAATCTCGGGACCGAGATAATTTGTTTGGTAGCATTTAGAAGTCGGTGGTTTAGGAGGAGTTGCGTGACATACAGACGCTGAATCTTATTATGTAGAGCACACTATAAATAAATAATAACACACATAATAGTGAAAAATAATCTACCCCTGTCCACGTTATTGAGTTACTACTAGCAACTATTACACTAGACTTTAAGTAGTCAAAAGATGTGAAATTTTAACTCCAGAAAGTTACTCAGGTTACTTTTACTCCCATACGATTAAAACCCTTCCAACAAGTAAAAATTTTTCAAGTTCAGGTGCATTAAAATTTCACATCAAGTCATTGAAATAATTTTCTTCTAGCTTTAAAATGCAGATAAACAAAGGTTTTGATACAAATAAATACATGTAGGCACTTCTGGTATTAGAAATATCTTGAACTTGCTGGAATATATATATATATATACATATATATATATATATATATTTGTACTTTCACAGTAAAATATAGTCATAAAGATAAAAACAACCACTTCTCAGTCATAAAATATATGTATGGCAGTTAGTTTTCACTTACGACAACATGAAATTGATGAATAAGTTATTATTATTATTACAAAAACCTAATTGGGAGGGAGTTACTGGTATAAAAAGTGCAAGAATTAATAGAAAGGTTTCTAATTAGTAGTAAAACTGCAGACATGTTGACCACAGACATGTTGACTGTGGGATACAAATAGAAAGCGACTTATTGTTTATAATCAGTGTCAAGTAATACGACCTCAAGATTTTATCCACACCCAAAGTCTGTAAGATGTACCAGTGTACAGAATAGCTCCACGTAAAATACCAAATAATGAAATAGTCAGATGCGATACTAAAACCGACCTCTTATGAAGCCATCTCCATTCTTCTGATCAATCAGTCACAAAAGAGAAACTTTTTAAAATTTGTAGATTTCAAGCTTTAAAGTTTTTAAGATTACATCACCATATGAGCTAGCGGTCTGCCCTATTGTTTGTATATTGCCTTAGAGTTTTATTTATCACATTTTAGACAGAAACCTTGACCATTCTGATGTAGCTACTTTTATAAAGATTTTTTTAAAGTTATAGCACACAGTCGTCAATATCTTAACATCTTGTTAAGATATATCTTATCTTGCGTATATAGACACATACTTTAATGTTTACAAAGACAACATTTTGGTTTATAACAGATAAATATCTTGTTATAAAGCTTACTAACCTATTTCTATTGATCGTAAGTACAGCTCTTCAGCTCTTTCAAAGAGTTCCATGTCGTAATTATACAGGGAAGCCAGGTGGCCGACAGAAAGGGCAACCTCATAGTCGTCAGGGCCCAACAATTCTTTCTTTATGTGGATAGCTTTTAGATGCATTTCTTCAGCATCCTGCAGAAAGTTTTCATACTCATAATTACAACAAAATACCAGCCTCAAAATATATCTATTTGTTATCAACAGGTGATGAACTAAAAAATTAAATAAAAAAATTACTTTAATTAATTACTCTAAAACAAAAAGATTGGGAAAAAAAATCATGTGTATGTTTTTGTTCCATGCGTCAGGTTCAAGTGTCTCAGTTGTCAGTTTCAAGTGTCTCAGTCGTAGATAAGAGGTTTATCTAATTACTTTATTCTTCTAGTGTTAAACCTACTGGACTAAAGTAATTAGATATATGTTATCTAATTACTTTATCAGTCCAGTAGGTTTAACACTAGAAGACATATATCTAATTACTTTACCAGTCCAGTAGGTTTAACACTAGAAGACATATATCTAATTACTTTATCAGTCCAGTAGGTTTAACACTAGAAGACATATATCTAATTACTTTATCAGTTCAGTAGGTTTAACACTAGAAGACATATATCTAATTACTTTATCAGTCCAGTAGGTTTAACACTAGAAGACATATATCTAATTACTTTATTGATTCAGTAGGTTTAACACTAGAAGATATATATCTAATTACTTTATTGGTCCAGTAGGTTTAACACTTGAAGACATATATCTAATTACTTTACCATTCCAGTAGGTTTAACACTAGAAGACATACATGTATATCTAATTACTTTATTGGTCCAGCAGGTTTAACTGTTATCAGTTTTATGGTCCATTAGTTTTTCTTGTAGAAGTTCTGTAGTAAATGTGATGAGGTGTGAATAGAGTTGATTACCATCGTACAGGGTGGCCCAAAAGTAACATGACATTAGATGAATCAGAAATGTAATGTTATTTTTTCACTCGGCACAGGGTCCAGTGGAAGCAGTAATGCTCTTTGAACCAACCTATCCAGACCATCGTATCCCAACAGGCCTAACCCATTCTTGTTGTGGTTTGTATTTATTGTTGGGGAGGAAATCGATTTCTCCAGGATTTGTTCTGGAGTCGTACTTCCTTTCAACCCTTTTGTATTGTATATGTTTATGTAAGTACGTTTGTATGTAAGTGTCTGTGACCTGAGGAAGTCTCTTCTGAAGCCAAATTTATTCCATTAATTTTCAACACCATAAAGACAATCAGAAGTGAAGAAACACAAACAAATCAGAAATTTAAAAAGAAAAGAAAACATTTTTTTTTATACTTACATTAAACTTTTTCATAGATTGATACAATCTTCCTAAATTCCCATAATGCTTTGCTGTTTGTACATTCATTTCTCCAAATGCTTGCTGGGCGAGGCGGAGAGCAGAGAGATGCAATTCCTGGGCTTCCAGAAGAAGCTTGTGTTCTATAGCTTTGTCTTGGTTATCAATAGCTATCTCTTCAAGTATCAAAGCTAATAAAAATATCTGAATGTAACTAATACGTAATCACACCTCCAGTGTTTACGTACAATACTCATATCAAATTGTTCGATAATCTAAGCTTTAATATTTTAACCAGACATACGTTATCCTTTAAAGGAATAAATATTATCATCCTTTCACATGAAGCTGAAAAAAATGTTAAACAATCTTAATAAGGGAATTTTCTCTTATCAGTAAAAACAGTATCAAGGCCATCTTAAATATATTTTATGTTTACGTCAGAGACGTGCGTGTAGGTTTAAAAAAACAACAACTTTAAAATTTCATCACATAGAAATCCAGAAACCAGTAACTTGTGATATCCATGTTGGTTCTCACTTTTACCCTAATAGAATTAACACTCAGAGCAACTGTAACTATTCTTCTGGACTGGAGGGGGCATTGTCAGCAATATCTCTTCTTTGTTCTTTGTCAGAATATCACAACTGCATGAAACTTATAATAAACTTACTATATAACATCAAGTTTTAAAAACTTCCTTTCATCTTAAAAGATAAGTTTTTTTTTTTACTGTTTATCTTAAAAGTTCCATCTGATTGATGTTCATCATCATAGACAGCAGTACATCAATAATTCTACCGATGCTTAGCTGCCACACAATCATGAATTATTATTACAAGAAAATGGGGACAAAAGTGAGATCTAACACGCCATGAATACGGAAATGGTGGAGCACATACAGGCGGGGGCACAGCATCTAAGCCATGCATACGCAAGCACTCGGGACAAGTCCTCTGGGTGAGTCCAGCGACATCAGCTTGACAGCTTCCTTGCGGCTTTCACTGCCACGCATAATAACATGCCTCGCTCGCCAGTGGATTTGGCAGACAGACAAGATTAGGCACACAAACCAATAAGATGTTCATTAACATATTTCTTTTGATATCTTATTTTGCCAATTGAAGTAGTTACCGTTTTTGGCTATAAATTGTAAAAAACAATGGCAAAAACTGACGGATTTATCAGTGACCTTTTCAGAATGTCATCAATATTTACCTTTGTCAACCTACATAATAATATTTTTTCTAACAATGTTCTTGGTTGATATCAATTTATATCCAATAAATATAGCTCCTTTGTAATAAACAATAAGCTGTTTTATTTATTGTAGGGTTTCAGTCATCTAAATTTTTAGCAATGCCTACATTACTCAATATTAAAACTTATGTAGTCTTATGTGATTTCTTGTCAAAGAATAAAATTTGTATATCTTTCAGAAAGGAATAATTTAACATAAAAATATTTCAGTAAAAAAAAATTACATCTAAAAATATCTATAAAATTCCCAAATTTTTCCAAAATCTTTTAAAAACTTCCAGAGGTTTCTTATTGTTCTCAGCCAGAGCTTTGTGTTGTAACTTTCCCAGGAAACCATAAATTACCGCTGACAACACTCTGTTTACTCTACAGTGATGCAAGTATCTTTTCAGGTTTTCCATGTGATCCGAGATCATATTTGAGGCTGAAAACTTTCATACTATATTTCATAAACACCAGTGACGTGACTTTGTTGTTTTTGTTATTTTATGTCATTAAAATTAGGTTTAGGGACAAAAAGTGTTTCTTGTTTTTTTACCTTCCTTCCTCATAGTTTTTCAGTTCATGATCTGACCTTAAACGCAAAGTTTATTTAGAAAGAGCCGAGTCGGTAATAACAACCATAAATGTTCACAGCAAATTTAAAATATATCAGCATTTTGGGTCACGTTCTCCATTTATTGTATATAAGAGAACCATGGCCACTCAATTAGATCTTAATATAATCATCAGGTTTCATCTTATAAAAGCATAATTCTACAATAATATTGGACAAGCAACTGGAAATAGAAGAACAGCACCGGAGAAGGTAGAGGAACAAGAATTACATCTGGATAGACGTATGTGATGATGTTTTTTGGGGTGATATAGCTGACAGGAGAAAGAAAAAGCTGTATTCTTCAAAACTATTTCCGTTACCTTTCACTCTTTTTGAAGATGCCAAAAGAAGATGATCTTGAGGTAACAGATGGTGCATAATATCCATGGCTTTTTCCGCATGGTCTCTGAAATCAGTGAAAATATTTACTTATACATCTATAAAATCATAAAACATGTACAACAATCAAAAGTTATAAGCAAGTTTTTAAATTAAAAGCAGCATCACGTGTATATATAACGAGATTAAAGAAATACAAACTTCAAATTTTGTTCTTTTTTATTTTCAATTTAAACAAAACAATATGATGTGAATCAAAAGATGTTACAGTACATAAGGTGAATAAATGAATATAAGCTTTTTAACCCTTTTTTATCAACCCTTCTACTATGGGCGGGTCGATTCTACCCAGCCCGTAACCCCCAAAGTAACCATAAACCGTTGTAACTTTTTAAAATGTAAACGCATCTTCATGAAATTTTACAGATTGTCAGTAAACGTTACAAGGCGTTCGTACACAAAGTATCCAATTTTGTAATTAAGTTTAACATTTTTGAAACTAATTATTTGCTCATGCATTTTTATTTTCGAATGTTGACTATCCAATATGCAAAGTAATTTTGATTTTAAGATTAAAAATACTTTTATGCGACAAAAATTGTCAAATTTCCCAAACAAATCTCTATAATCTCCAGATAATTGTCAAATTTTTTTTTTAGAAAAAAAAAATGTATATTTTATCTGTTGTTTTCACTATTGTATCTCTGTACGGGTTTGGTCGATTTTAAAATTAGTAAATAGATATAAGTTATGTTTTTTTAGTTCTAGAATGAATACAAATTATAACACCAAACCACAAATGTTTAGTCTAAATAGTTTAAATCTCATATCATTATACATCTATATATATACATATATTCATTATTTTAATTTTATTGACCTTCCAGCAGTGTCGGACTAACATTACAGAAGTTGAATGACATGGTGCACATGCACTCATGTTACAGTATTCAATAATATAAAACTGACCTTTACAAAGTGACATGTTTTCCCTTTGTTCTAGTGGACCAGTATTTTGTAAAATTCCATCACATTTCAGTTATAATACATTATATTTGTATATAGATTACTACTATTTATAAATAAGTTCTTGAATTTCAGTTATTTTTCTTAAAACACAGAACAGTAAATAAAGAACTGTGGAAAACAGCTATCTCTTCTAGTTACAAACTTTGTACTCGTTTGCTTTTTGCCATAATTTGCTAAGCCTTGTCAAATTTTGCACATGGAGGATGTAAAACAAAATAATTTGTTTGGGTTTTATATATGTATTTTGAAATAACAAGAAATCATAAATTACAATATAAATGCCACAGAATTCCACTATAGTTTATCAGGCTTAGTAGCTATGTAGTCTTAGTAGCTATGTAGGCTTAGTAGCTGTATAGGCTTAGTATTAGGCTTAGCTAAACTGTATTTGAGTCATGTTGGAATTGATAGTGATGCTCTGAAGATGCTTGTTGATTCTAAACCAAGATAACATGTTCAACTAATTAAAATTTAACAAGCATAATGACCAGACAAGATAAAACTAATTGAAGTACTACATATGAAAAATTCTGGGCTAGATCATTAACTTCTTGTAATTCTTTAATAATAAATCTTGAATTTACCTTGCAACTTTGAAATTCCCTGAACTATATTCATGCACGTACGAAGCATACGCCAGGTCTTCATGTACTATGGCCACATGTAAGTTATAGCCACCAAAAGCTGTTTGCCATACATCCAGTGCTTTCTGAAACATAACATATCTCAGTGTAATACAAATTAAATAGTTTCTCTTCTCATCTATAGAGGTTTAGCAATTTCTTATCAATTATGAAACAGTGAATGTTGATACTCCAAGTACATCAAATGCTTAGATATGAAATTAAATAACAGTTTGAATAAAACAGACCGTAATAAAACTACTTTATCTTAACTTGGTTACTGTTGTTTCTCATCAGCACAGTATAACATGAAGTTATACAACTGTTCTTGTTTTTGTTTCTTCACTTTTGAGGATAATGGACAAAAGCAAGGTTATCTAACAGATAATCATTTTTTTTTCTTATTAAACACAAAGCTACACAGTGGGCTATCTGTGCTGTTCCAGCCACGGATATCAAAACCCAGTTAATAGAGGATTTTATAATAAATAAGAATGATACATTAAATTAGCTATGTTCTTTACCAGGTAAATTTTTACTTCTGATATATTGTTACGTCTCCGGTCCTTGGTTAGTTTCCCGTATAAATTCTTTCCGAAAAACTTCAGCGATACAAGTCTTTTCTTAAATAAAACTAGTTTATTCTTTCTCAATACAACTTTGCAATACACTTAATTTCCACAGTCACTTTAACTTAAACACACGCTAGAATTCACAACAATTCACGCACTTTACTTACGGCTTAACTCGATTATCTGTCTCTATATCTCTCTGTCTACAATTCAATTCTTGCCATCACTTTATTTGCCGGCTTATATACTATAAAAGCGTGAGTCTAGCAAACGCTCGAGCCTTCAGGAACGTTCGAGATACTCATTACGTGCTACCAGCGTCACGTGACTTCCGCTGTCGTAACAATATGTAAGTAGTTTCCACTAATTAGTTTCCACACACGTTATCAGTCAAGTAACTGTACAATGTCTTGACTAAACTTAAAGAAATGCAGCTTCCAAAACTTAATAATTTCTTGCATCCAATATGTGGGAATAATACCAAGTATCATGACCTTTAGGCTTAACCACACCATTCTAGTGTACCCCACAAACAACCCTAACATTCTTCTAGTGTTTTCTATCTATCAAATCATAAGGAACAAAGTTATGTTAATTAAGAATGTTATGTAAAATTACATTTTCTAAGTTTCCCAAGAGACAAAAACTCTAAATGTGCTTGAATTATTAAAAGTAACTTTGTTTGATCTTTTCTTTTTTCAGCATTAAGAAAAAAATAAAATATCAAGACAGTTTAAGCAGCTAGTGAAAATTTACCTTAGATATGTTAGAAGCTAGAAATACAGAAGAACACCTTAGCCTTTAGACTATAAGCTTCACCTTCCCTAGTACACTATAAGCTACACCTTCCCTAGTACCATGACCTACACCTTCCTTAGTACCACATGAGCTACACCTTCCCTAGTACACTACGAGCTACACCTTCCCTAGTACACTACAAGCTACACCTTCCCTAGTACACTACAAGCTACACCTTCCCTAGTACACTACAAGCTACACATTCCTTAGTACTCTATGAACTACACCTATCCTAGTACTACATGAGCTACACCTTCCCTAGTACACTGCAAGCTACACATTCCCTAGTACTCTTTGACCTACACCTTCCTTAGTACCACATGAGCTACACCTTCCCTAGTACACTACGAGCTACACCTTAACTAGTACACTACGAGCTACACATTCCTTAGTACACTATGAGTTACACATTCCTTAGTACTGTATAAGCTACACCATTCCTAGTACCACATGAGCTACACCTTCCCTAGTACACTACGAGCTACACCTTAACTAGTACACTACGAGCTACACATTCCTTAGTACACTATGAGTTACACATTCCTTAGTACTGTATAAGCTACACCATTCCTAGTACCACATGAGCTACACCTTCCCCTAGTACACTACGAGCTACACCTTCCCTAGTACACTACAAGCTGCACCTTCCTTAGTACTCTATAAACTACACCTATCCTAGTACTACACCATCCCTAGTACACTACGGGCTACACCTTCCCTAGTACACTGTGAGCTACAACTGTAGAGTTTAACATAGCTGGTACACTTTATACTGAAGTAATTAGGGTATACCATCGTGAAGTTAGACATATGTACAATATGTCATGAGTAAAACTGACACAAAACCATCAAGTCTAATAACTGTGAGATAAAATAAGAGCATCGTTGTCAAAATGGAGTTGACCTGGTCACGTTGGTCTTGTTAAAATAAACTGGTTGGAGCCAGGAGTAAAGATGACATCGAAGCTGACTAACATTCAGTTCTGGACATAATTTGTGAATCCACGGACTATTTTGTTCTTCAACATTTTTTCAATCGATGCACTTTTAATATGATGAAGTTTTTGGTTGTAGGGATGAAGATTGCAACTTCATTCTTATTACCAAAGATTCCAGCATTTTGAGAAGTAAACTGAATGAAAAAATGCTAAGAAGGAAAGAAAATCAAGAGTGATGAGAGAGAGAGAGGATTTTAAACCACATTTATGTTGGATCAATGGCAAAACATACTGAATGTGGAAAAAAAAACAACATTACAAACAAAGTTACGACCTACGACTGTAGAGGTTTACCTTACCTGGTACACTATGACTGACTTATTAATAGAGTCCACATTTATGTTGGATCAATGGCAAAACATACTGAATGTGGAAAAAAAACAACAACATTACAAACAAAGTTACGACCTACAACTGTAGAGGTTTACCTTACCTGGTACACTATGACCGACTTATTAATAGAGTCCACATTTAGCAAGTAGAAACCATAGTCTAGCAGAGTGTCCCCAAACTTAGGATGCTTTGGGTCAAAATTTATCCTACAAAAAAAAGAAATGTGCATGCAAGAAACTAAAACTTCTCATACAAGAAACGAAATTCCTAAAACTATTCCCAATCACTCAATTCTTATTGGATAAGTAAAGTGGTATCATTTCACTTTCCTTAATGCGAGGGTAAATAGATAAACAAAACAGATAACATCCTTGAACAATGCCAACATTTCTAAAACAAGCTTCCTTCCATCAAGTTACCCAGTCATTCACTAAAAGTTATTGAAATAACTTTGAAATTAAGGTTTTATAAATATCATTCTTATAACAGCAGCTATAAAAAGATGTGAGTTTCAAATAGGGAGAGAAAAACATCCATTAATAAAAATTCATAAATTAGATACTGATGATTATAATTTTAAGGTAATCAACATAAATAGTTTTCTAAACACATAACGGAAACTTCGGTATAGATCTTCCTGCTTTGTTCCTCAGTGACACACAAAAAATTACACTTATGACAAGCTGTAACTTACGCTACAAACTACAAAAAAGGAGATTTATCCCATCGTTGGAAGACATTTAACAATATCAACAGACTAATTTATCCTAATTTCAAATCAAAAAATATACTTCATTTTTAAATTTGTATACTAAAAACACATGAATTTTTCTATTCTTCTAACACAAATTACTACTTGTACTTACCTGGCTGTATGTAATGCTTGTTTGATTAGGAATTCTGCTTTTCTAAACTCTCTTTTGACAACACAAGTCTATAAAAAAAAGAATAGAAGCTAGAATATTTTTGGAATGTATACTACTCTACAATATTAATCACACCTTAAAAATTTTCAAATAACTATCAAAAATTAAGTGTTTCTCACAGTCGTGATTATTTTTATCATAGATTTAACATGTACACTAAGTTCAATCCAACAAAGGAAAAACATGTGGACACAGCAAGTACTTGCAGAAAAATTGTGGGGATCATATATTAATCAGTGTTACAGTTAGTAGCCTTTATATATTACCAGTGTTATCATGCTCATAGGTTGGTAAGACCCCACCCCCCCCAACTTCTTTCCATACGCTATTTTAATAATCTGAAATAAAAGTATAAACCTTTTCAAAGTACAGTTGCTAAATATAACGATAATTAAACAAATAAA